CATGGGTGGTGTGTGTGACGGACTGCGTTGAGCGATGTGTACAGCATCTTCAAGGAGATCACAAGCTAGGCGGCTGTAGCCTGCGGTGTATTGTTGTCTAACAAAGAAGAGGCGAGGCACGAAGAGAAGAGACTTGGGTAGTTGTGGGGCTTGTCTTTGTTTATATAATTTAATTTGACATACACCATCCAGCTGTCTCCTTCTAGCTGTTACATTACTCCCCAAAAACAACAATATACGAGGATAGGGACGCACAGATGCTGATGCTGAGGACCCTATAAATAACTCTTTATAACGAATGTGAGCCAGAAACAATAGCAACAGCCCCATCTTCACTGCATGCACAGCGCATGCATGCATGCATGCACACACAAACACACATATATTGATACTCTTAAACAATATAACTGCATGCATATTGCATGCATGCAGACACATAGCGATACCCATACACAAGACAAACACGAAGCTGCTGGGGAGCTGAAAGAGATAGTCTTTTATGTCTATCGAAGCCACCACACGTGCATGCATGCAGCACAGCATATACGCCTGCAGATGCATGCAAGCATGCATGCATGCATGCATGCGTGCATGCATCTGCTACTTTGATAGAGCTGGGTACGTGATAGGGCTTGGCATATACCAGGGTTTTGTACTGCGCGCAAGTAAGGGTTTAGGGTTTATGTGTGTTTGAGTTGATTAGGGTTTGGGGGTTTAGGGTTTAGGGTTTAGGGTTTAGGGTTTAGGGTTTAGGGTTTACATGTGGGGTTGAAAGAAGCAGATAAAAAGATGAGGGATTTGGGTTTTTTGTTGAGGAGGATGTCAGTGAGGTCTTTTGCTGCAATTGTTGCTGGGGGAGCTTCAGGCAGCGGTGTAGTGTGGCTGGGTGTTGTAGTTGCACTGTATATAGAGAATAAAAAAAAAAAAAAAAAAAAAAANAAAAAAAAAAAAAAAAAAAAAAAAAACCTAGGGTTTAGGGTTTAGGGTTTAGGGTTTAGGGTTTGCTTGCCTGGCTTGCAGCAGAGATGTCTCCGCGAGTACTTCTGGTGGGGTCCCCAGGTCGCCTATATTTTGTGTGTCTCCTCTGAATCCCCAATGTATAAAAGTTTGTTTGAGTGCATGCTGAGGTGTATTTCCTTCTTGAAAAAGTTTAAAAGGAGAATAAAATATCATTGTATCGATATATAATAAAAGATGAATAAATAAATAAGAGCAACGGAGACGATCCCCATCACTCGATCCCACCAATGCCTCCTCCAGCTGTACTGCTGTCTCCTTTGCTGCTGATACCTCAACCATGTTGCAGCTCAAAGCAGCAACTGCAGCAGCAGCAGCAGCAGATGGACAGTCCCCGCTGCGCTCACGCAAACGCATGCATACTTCTTGGCCTCTGTCTGCAGCAACACACCACAAACCCTAAACCCTAAACAATAAACCCTAAACCCCAAATAAAAAAAAAACACACACACTCACCAGGGTATTAGAGAGGAAACAGAGAATAGGAGAAAACCAGCAAACAAAAAAGACAAAAAACATGCAAGTCCTTGGCCGATACGTTCGTGCTTTGTTCTATATTCATGCATGCATGCATGCATGCATGCATGCATTTATATTTGGGGCTTTTTGCATGCAAAAAAAGTGAATCACCTCGCACGGCGTCAGAGAACCAGGTGGCTCCCAGTGTCTCCTCCAATCGATGCAGGTTATCTTGCGGTGTAGTTGCTGCAGCAGCAGCACAGACAGCGCAGCACAGCCTCTTTGCATGCATGCATATGCATGCATATACATATATATATATATATATATATATATGGCGATGGATTGGGGTGTATAGACAGCTCACCCTCAAGAGGAACTGCAGCGTCGTACTCCTTGCCGTGGCTCAGCGGCTTCATTCTCGGGCGAAATATTTCAATACCTTCGAGGATAGCTGGCAAACAATATCATACAAAACAAAGCCCCAAAACTCGCATGCATGCATGCATGCATGCATGCATGTTGGGGTGTATATGCATGCGTTTGCATGCAGACCCGAGAAATAACCAAAGACTCACCGTCCAGTTGGTTTGCAGTCATCAACTCCTCTGCAACGCAACACAAAAACTTCAGGGGGTTTAGGGTTTAGGGTTTTTAAACAAAGAGAGGGCAACAAGGGCTTATATTGGGGCTTCTCTGAACGCATGCACGCATGCATGCATGCATGCATGCGTAGATGCAAATATGCTGCCTCACCTTGGGGTTCCGTTTGCGGGGCGTTCGGGTCCCCCTGGGGAGCCTGCGGCCCCCCATCATGTGAAGCAGCTGCAGCATCAGAAGAGGGTGGGGCTGCATGCACGACAGTGTAGGGGCAGAGCAGCAGCAACGCAGCAGCTGCTGCTGCGGCTGTCGCCGCCCCGAAGACTCTAACGAATCTGCTGCTGCCGCTGCGCATTGTGCTGTCTGTGCAGCCTTCAGCTGTTAATCCCTCTTCTATACTTTTGTAAGTTTAAAGAAGATCAAAAAAGAAGTTCGAGCTGCGTGTACACCACAAACTCAGAGCGAGAAGAAGACGAGAACCACTGGAACGGAGCCCAAGGGGGCCGTTGGCTCCGATCCCCATTCCTCCTTGACGCTCCCTCCCCCGGAGCGTTCTATGAGGTATTTTCAAGCAAAAATACAAAAGGAATTTCAATCAATTGGAAAAAAATGCAAAAAAAAAANAAAAAAAAAACAAAAGGAGCGATCGCCGCTGGCGTCCTTCTGTTTGTAGTGAGGTCAGCGGTCACACCGCGGCGGCTGTACGTTCGTTTATTTTGCTCAAATTTTGAAATTAAAACACATAATTAAACAAAAAGACATCAAAAAAACAAAATAATTTTCGCATGAGGATATATTCCAGCCCCGAAACCACAACCCCCTCTCAGCAGGGGGACTAGGAGAGGCCTTGCCGGGGGCCTGCGAGCGTGTGCTGCGGTTTCGTCCGTTGGTCTTTTCGCTTCTATGTTTGTCTGTCTGACAATACGTGTTTCTTTTTTCACTTTTATATGTAAAAAGAGAAGAAGAAGAACTATAAACATGTTTTTTTAGTTTTTTTCCTCCAGAGGAAGCTGACGAATCGGGGACGGCCCCCTGCAGCCTGCGGGTGTCGGCGGAGGCCATATGCTTGTGCTGTACACATTCCTGTGTTTGTCGCTTATTTGTAGTTTCTTTTATTTTCATATTTATTTCTAAAACTAAATTTACTCTATTTCAATGATCTTCTTTCATCATCAGTGGCAGAAGGCATACAGACGTGCTGTCGGCAGCGGCCTTCGGTCGCTGCCTGTGGCGGTACACCTAGTTGCTGCTGCTGCTGCCTCTGACTATACAATAAACCGTAGTGAATAATAAAAATAATGATAATAAAAATAATTGTAGTTTCAAAAAACCCATATCCCCTCTACCATGAATGAAAAGAAACGCAGATCAGCCCCCACCTCTCTGCGTTGAGAAAGTGCAGATCGACACGAGACAGGAACTGAAAGCGTTGCGTTTCTTCTGGTGCAGTGAAGGGGGAAACAAGCAGCATACAGCATCCAAAAAGATCAGAGTAATAAGAGGTTACTGACGCAGAGCATATTCAAAGAAAACCCCGCATAGAAAGCAATGAAAGCCCCCTTATATTGAACCTCTTGTGGGTGACGGCGGATGTGAATTGCTTCGAGCCGCTGCCCGAAACAACTAGGACAGGATTGAACTATAAGTTTAATATAATAAGAAAACAATTGTTGTTTAGGTTTAAATTATAAGTTTTATTATGAAACAATTGCTGTTTCATAGCAACTACCGTTGCTTGCCCATCAGCATTCAACGCACCATCCAGTTACTAAGGAACGCATATCGTGTATCCTTCTTATCGTGTATTCTCTCTTACCCATATATATATATATATATATATATATATATATATATATATATATATATATATATATATATATATATATATATATATATGGAGGCGGATTGAGCCCTCCCCTTCCGATATTGCTTCTCCACCTAATCCCCTTGAAATTGGTTCTCGAGAGCCTTACTGGCCTGTGAAGAACGTTAACGTTGGTGACGGCAACCACGCCTTCGGTGCCTCACGCACCTCAGGAGGTTGCCGATGGTGAAGGAGTAGCGACAGGAGGTGGGCCTCCTAGGAACTTGAAACGGAAAGCTAAGCCGGCATATGGTTGCTTTCACATTGTTATACACCTCAGCTTTCTTCTCAGGCACTGCTGGTTTCCACCGCCAGTTCACATTCATCCCTCCCTCCTGATGCCTTTCAATATACCCTCCTGTAAGGCTTTTGTAGAATCGGTGGTTATTTATATCGCTGTGTGCATGAAACCTATCATTCCTGCGCGGAATAGAGATAAAATTTCGGTGGTTTTCATCATAGAGTTGTGAAATTAAACATAAAATACATCAATGAACTGGCACTAACCACACCACACTAGATGAAGTTTCCTGAATTTCAGCATCCCACCCGTCGTCACCAACAAACCAACGGAAACATGAACAGGCATTCTGCAGCTTACTCACAGGAAATAAAACAAAGTCTGTTGTTTCAGTCTGTTTGTATCAAACTGGAAAAATATATTGGCGAGTCGTTACTAAATAATTTACTGTTGGATGTTTCACCACCCTCTCTTATGTTCAATGCCACAACAGCTGCAAGTTATGAACGTAGCAAGCAAAACACCAACAATTCAAGAAAGCAGATGATCGAATACATGACATGCTGTTGAATTTGAAAGTTTCATTTACAGTGTCCGTCATCATCCGGTTAGAAAAAAATGTTAAGTTAGATGCGCTCGATGCGAAGGGGTGTTTCCTTAAAAAAAAGGAACTCCGTGTGTCTGCCATTCTCCCTGTAGGGATATCGTACAGGGAAAATTCCAAAAAAAACGAGGCCTTGGGACCCCCCCCATTCCCGATTCCTCCCTCCCCCCCCTCCCCCCCTTTCTTCCCTCTCCCAGCCCCCAAACCACCGCCACCATCAACTTGCAGCACGGTGCTGGAAGCAGAAAGAGGAGAAGTGACGCCTCAAACACAAAGAACCGAGCCTCTTACAAGGGGCTCGCTTGGGTTGGGCACACGTAACCGCTGTAAGAGCTAGAAACGGTCGGGAACAGTAAGCTAAAGTGGAATCGAGGCGGCTCTCCCGGTACTTAAGCCAGGAAAGGTCGAGTGCCCCCTGCGACAGCCTTGCGCTGCAACTCCACTCCTCCTCCTCCTCCTCCTCCTCTTCTTCGATTAGCGCAAGACGTATGTTGCTGCGAAATGCTCGTGAGATATGTAGGAAGGAGCTGTAGCTGTTGAAGTGACCGATGCTTTAGAAGGAGGGGAGTTCTGACCACTATGGCCGCTGCCGCGGGTGATGTCTCCGTAGGTTTGCTTGCCCCAAGAGAAAGGAAGGTACTTGTACTTAATCATTTTTTTGACTTGCTGCTTCATCGTGAGGATAAAAAGAAGAATGAAGTATATAAGGAGGATAGGCCAGAACACGGGCAAGTCGAACACCTCGAAAAACGTCATGGAGATGGCAATCAGCAACGCCCGCATGCCCGAGACCCATGCTTTAAACTCTGGAACTTGACGCAAAAACGGGCGAAACTCTCCTGGCTCGCTCTGAGCGCCACCTCCCCCGCCCCGGACAGGCAAGACGTACTCGTCGGTTTCCGGGTCAACCTGGGGTGAGATGAAGCCGATCAAGAGGTTCAGAAGGTATATGCCAAGCCCGTAACTGACTACGAAGAAGCCGGCTAAGAAATAGACACGGACAATGTAGAAAGCCAGACACGCAAAAAGCACAAGCCAACGAGTCTTGATGTACAAAATAGACTTGTTCAAGTATGCGCTGCTAACGCGGCCCACGCTGGCCCAGACACGGGAGGAGAAGGGCTGGTCAGCCAACTCCTCAGCACTCATAGAAGCCATCATTGTCCGCAAAGCACTTGCTCTAGAGTGCCCAAAGGCAGCTCTTCTTGGTTGAGTTCCTCTCTGAGAGTCGAAAGCAACTCAGAGGAGTCCACCGCAAAGGGTTCTGCCCCTGTCCTCGCCTCTTCAAAAGGTCCTACGGAACTACCTTACAGGAAACACTGAAGAACTGTAAAAACAAATTTTAAATCGAACCGCTTCACGCCAACTATAGGGACGGCAGGATGCTCTTCTGCAACCGTCAGACACCTCGCGGAAAGCCCCACGCTGCCAGGTGATAACCTCTCTCCTTCTGAATAAGAGTCGGGGGTGTTCAATCATAAAACTGCACCGCAAATAACCCCTCTAATATGGAGCGTGTCTCAGGCAGAAGCCGCAGCAGGGGACGTCTTGTCTGCCGCCCGAGGCGGCTGCCGCAAACAGCCGAGGCCCCAAGGCGTTGGCTGCTTGGCTGCACTTCTGCAAGACAAGCTGATATGGAACAGAGGCACCTACGGTAACATTCAAACATTTTCTGAGAATATAAAAGTCCAACCGTTGTTTTATATGTCCCAGTAGCCGTGAATACGGGTGGGCCCTCTAAGGGACGAAGGCGGTAGAATTGCACAACGAACCGCCAGCAGAAGAGGGGCATTCCACACAGCGACTTCAGCGCATGTCCATAAACCTTGAGCTCCTATCACGCGCTTACTTTGGCAGCGTAACGGAACGGAGATACAACACACAACCCCCTTGGCCAGCTGGAGTAATACGTCAGTGGATAGACTCTTCGTAGCTACGCTGCAGTTGACTGAAGGTGGCCCATTCAGGTGGACCTGTAGCATGCAGGGAATTCGATTCCTTACCATTTTACGTGGAGCGGAGAGGTTACGGACGTGAAGAGGAGCCCCGAGAGTGGACCGGGGCAACACCGTAAATGTGCCACGGCATCTGACAATCATCTAGGCACAATGTTGCGCACCTAGCCAGGCCTTAATCGAATCTCTTGTATCAGTCGATGCGCACGATGCGTATTCTGTTTACACGGAGAAGCAATATGTTTCTGGGCGAGGAGGTTTCCTCTGTGAGTGCGCGTCCTGCGCGTTGCTTGTGCGTCGAGTTTTCGCCGGTTGGTCAAAAGGAATTTTCTGCTCTCATTGAGCTTGCCTAAGAACACCTGCAATAGTGCCTCATAGATGTGCAGGCCCAGCTAAACGGCCGGCGCGACCGTGCATTGATCAGCGCCGCAACGGGCGACTAAAGGCAAAAAATACATACCGAGCATACGTCTCTGCTTGACATAGTAAAACGACACTGAGAGTAATTTTGAAACTATGTGGGGGTTGTAGGATAGGTCGAAGTTTCGGCGATCGGCGAGATCAGCGGGGAATGTTGCCCCTGCTTAGCTTGATTCCAAGGTGATATTTCGCAAGCCCGTTCCCCTGGCTGCGGTTGGGCCAGGTAGTACATAGTGGCAGTAGGAATCTCGTTAATTCTTACGTACATGGCCTGGACCAGGAGCCAGCGAAGTGCTGAGATATTTCAGTTACCTAGTGCCGACGCTTTGAATCCGTATGCTGAAACTTTGAACAAGTAGAGATGACTACTAAAAACTCGGCGTGTGTTTAGACTCTATGTGCTTTCTATCTATCGTTGAATGCGAAGCGCCCAGTCGGACATGGATCAACGGCACGCCTAGTGCTGCACTTTATTGCCCATTTCAGGTTGCTGCAACGCTCTTTGGTCATCTCGGATGTGAGTCTGCACTATGGGCTTCGCTGCATTAGTTGGAAAATAGACCGGAGTACTGACGTTTTTTCCCGGAATGTGTAGCCTGATGAAGATCCCAAAATGGGGATATATATTTTCCAGGAGCGTCTAGTGCGCATAGTTTCACCGCGCGGGCTCATAGTATGCTAAAGCTAGAAAAGCAGGAAACACTGGTAACAGTTCGCCGGACGGCTGGGAAGTAACTAATGTAACACGGTGATAAGGTGATTTGGTGGCCGATCGAATCACTTACAAGGAAAAAACAATAGTCTTCTATGGACTATTGAAGTCTAGTGCGCCCCAAGGGAAAGATACAGCTACGGCCAGGTGACTGCTGCCGGCTGATGACCCTGTATAGGCGTCTGCTCAGTGATGAGGAGGCAGTCTTAAAGTAGCAGATGAACGTATTCGTGCAAAATTCTTAGCTCATAAGTGACTGATAAAACTGTACCGTATGTCTCCTACCGAGGCCACTCTGCAGTTAGAAAATTGAGGAAGTCCTCGCCGGGAATCTCTTTGATGTGCCCATGACAAGGAAATATCTGTTGAGACGAAGTGATATTTCAAATTTCGGCAAAACACATTTCTTACTATTTAAAATAAATACGCGAAGACCAGGCAACTGGAACTTACTTACTTGGTACGCAGGCGGATTTGTTGAGAGGTGTTCGCTTCACGAGCCAACCCTAAACGCTAAACACTTACTAGAGCCAGGTCGCGCAGGCATGCTACGCATAGAACAAATGTAACATAAGACCTCTCAGCCTAAGGCGAAGAGGAGAATCTGTTGGGACCCCTGATGCCCATGCGCAAAAAGGAGTGCTCAATCCGCATGACGCCTCAAAGTGATGGGGGCTTCAGGCTCAAAAGAGAAAAACCCACCTTCTGATGTTGTGATAAATAATGCTATACTGCATGCTCCTTCTGAAAGACACGCACCTAAAGGCTACGTTGCAATTTAGGGCAGGGCAGGACCACTTTTCTGTTGAACGTTGGTATTGCGCAAGCTCACTTCAGCATAAGAAGAATCACGCTTGTGCCAAGCTGGTGCCGAGCAGGCTCATCGCATCGCCTACCTGGGGCTGGGCAAATCATTCGAAGATCCGTTTCTTCAACGCAAAACTCACTCGCTGCCCCTGAAGCAAGATATGCGAAGGCATCCCACAACATAGTAGTCCGGTACTACAGCTACAGCAGGCCTTCAAATTGATGCGTGACAGACGCATCTCGTGTATTCATACCGAAAGGCACGCCGTTCAAAGTTGCCCTCAGGAACAACCTGACGATTTACTCCACAGATGACAGCATCAAGTCGCTGCTCAAAAAAGTGCTGAAAACAAAGATTAGACCCGAGTTGGAAGACAATTGTTCGTGCCGGTGTCGTGGGTCAGTTACAGTCCATCCAGAAACGTGTTTCAGCAAAATATAAGCTTGTACATCCATCAGCACACTTCGTTACACTGAAAGGTACAATGCCGCCAATGATCGGGACACATCTTTGCACTACTAGACCTCCTACTAACCAGACAAGAAAAGCGGCGATATCGAAAACGCACATCCTATGAACCAACGAGCAATCACTTTGACCGTCGTTCGTTTACACTCTACAAAAAGTGGGGAACAAACGCTCGGCACCACCATGCAGCAATAAGATCTGGGATAAGAAACTCAGTCTACGTGAAACAGACACTAACACCTGAGTTCTGCCAAGGCTGCGCGAGTGCCCTACGATTCTGCTCATTGTTTCTATCAACCATGAGCGCAAATGAGTGATATCTGATGAGCTCACGGCATGCCGCCATGAAAGCCCCCTGCATACGGCTTGAATACCTCTTTAGTATGAGCACGCGAACACAAATTTCAACATATCCCACACTGAGCGTCGTACAGTAGCACAAAATACTGGCGTGTACGCAGGTCAAGTGGAAACGGGTCTTCTGTTTAGCAGCATCTCCAGATTTTCCACAATAGACAACTGGTCAGTCAGGACCGAAGTTTCAAGTGTCTAAATTCGACAAAGCCGCGTACGCTTCAGCAAACGAACAGGCTATGGCGCCAGATGCTCACAAGCTGATGCCATACGCAAAAAGAATATTTCGGATGCGGCACTGCTGATTGCGCATATGCAGAGCCCGGTATACTCATGCATTATACATCCTCCCATTTTAGGGGAGTAAGTAAGGACGAAGAGCTCTCCCTAGAATGCTCAACACGGGGGCTGCCCAGACTCCTCATATTTTTCACAGCTGTGCTATACTAGTTCCTGAAGCTTACAATCTGTGGTCGGAGAAAGGGGGCAGGAAAATCAACAGCAATGGCATGTGCTTGAGAGCACCAAACTGCAGTTGCGGCCTACCTCGTACAGAACCCTAGATCATACTTTGAGACATACGGCCTGTCGATAGAAGAAAATGACGCAGCCAATCCAGACGAAATGAGCAAGCCTTTCCATGCCTTGGCACTGAATATATGTAAGCAGCTGCCCAACGCCGGAAAACGATTCAAAATTGTGTATGAAATGTAGACAATGTGGAGAACTCCTACACGTTCTGGCAGAACACCAGCGTCAACCGCTTCACACAGTGATGCGCAAAGTGGGGACGTCATACGCTCTGAGTTGACGGTGATCTCCGAACCAAGATACCGCTTGGCGGCAGGGTGTTGGAAATCCTTAACAGGTGCGTACTCGTTACAATAAATTTTCTATTGCTTCTGGCAGAAAGACTGATTGGCCAACAGTGAGCTAGCAACATACGAGCTAAAGTATCAGCATTCGTAGTCCCGTCGTTTCGCATAATGCACAGCACAAGAGCCAGCAGAAAACTGTTGATGCCGGTTCATTGGGTTGAAAGTGTAGGACAAGCGAAATGCGGTCGCCTCGTAGCTGCCCTCCTTGGTCAAAACAAGTGAAACACACATCCTGCAACAATGAATTGTTCTAGGCTAGGACACAGGCGGTTCCCCGGGTCTGTTTCAACCTGCGGCGACTTTCCTTCGCTCCCCAGTCCGTTCTATTTGCAGGGTTTTCGCCCTGTGCGGCTATGCTAAGCAACACGAGGCACACGCTGCCCCTGATGAGCCTGCAACCCACTCCCTGGAATCAGAATATTCCGTACTCCGTAGCAACTACAGATAGAGACCTCGGCGTCGCTATCAAGCTCCAAGTGCCCCACAAACACCCAAGCGCTCACAATCATCACGCATCGGCAGCTCTTCGCTCAGCCTCAATGCAGGGGAGATATTGGTGCATTGCA